CATAATTAAAATAAATAAAAACTTTTATTTCCTAAAATTTTCATTTTTTTACGGCAGCAAAAATAAAACTGTATTTTTTTTTTCGAAATCATCACAATTGGCAGGTTCACTAAACAAGATAATAAGTCTCGCCTTACGAAGTTCCTAAAAAATGAATTTATGTTTTGAATTACATTGTTACTCTAAATTACTACTCTTATTATTACTCTAAAAGTGTTAGCATTGTTTTCTCCTCCCAATTGGTCAAGCGGGGCTTTTAGAGGAGGACAATGTGTACAACATTATCAAAATACTGTACACCCTATGTCAAAAATACCAAAGCAAAAGAAGCTTAACCCTGTACGCCATTCGGCACTACAAACAAGCCTATATCATTGGATGCATGACAAAGTTTATACTTTAATTTTATTTAATCAACGATACTAACAATAATCAGTAATAATGCGTAAAGATTAGGAAGACTATATCATCATATAGCAGAAGTATTGAAGTTTAGCTGTAAGGATCATCTAGATCATGATTTCATGTCCTTACACAGTAAGGTATGAAACCATGCAGAAGAACATTAAAGAGTCAACTGCATTTGACTAGAAGTATTACATCATACAAAAGCAAACAGTACTGTACCAATTATGAGCTTTTCTAGTGGTTAAGGCCAGGGTCAGAAATTGTTTTTTTCTCCAGACTGGTCGAGCAGGGCATTTTAAGGGGCAGAATGTTTAATACAACATCAAAACATGCCCTTAAAATGTCAAAAACACAAGCAAAAATAGGTTTAACCCTACTAGGCCATACCCAGATTAAGCCTTTGCCACTGGAAGCAGACAAGATTTTATTATAATTTTATTTAATCTCTGATAGTAATACATTCATAATAATGGGGAAGGAATATGAGGACTATTATTCATTTATAGGAAGGAAGCATCTAGGATATTTTTAGATCTTGATAGGCAAGACTTTTTAATAATAGCGAACTTATAATTTTAACGATCATCAGAGAACAGAAAACTTTTTTTTTTAAAATATTGTTTTCTCGTATAGCAAACAATTTTACTAATGAATAGTGTAGTAGTAATGACATTAATAAAAGCATTTTCCATTTTTCATGGCAGAAGTTTCTGCTTACCTGGTAAAAAAAAAAAAATGTATTAGCTGAACAAGGTGTAAGCAAGTCTCGCTTAATATCCCTACACAGGAAAGCATGAAAACCGCAGCAGAACTAAAACACAAACATGCCATATGGAAAATAAACCTTCAAACTAGGCCACAACTATTTTCATCAGTATCAAGGTCAATTGCATTCGCGCTTGATCATGTCAGGGCTCGACCCGACTGAAATGGTTTGGACATTCGTGTTGTTAATGACGACTTGGGTAAATGTATTTGAATATAATTAAAATTGTATTCACTTTGTGATGAATAAATAATGTACAAAAATACAGGCTTTCAGTTCTAGAAAAATATGTTTATTTTGGTTTTTTTTTCGTGGTTAATGGTTGTATTTAATATGGAAGTTCCATGTTGAGGTGTAGGCCTGGATAAATTGTCAAGTGTGGTCTTTCAAATGGAGTGAGTAGAGTTGTAGAGTAAAAGAATACACTCCAGCTCATAATATATCACTTTTATTTGAAAAGTTACACAAAGGTGTAACAATTCATTTAATGATTAAAGGAAAATGCTACTGTACCAAATCAAATACGTTTAATAAAAAGCAAAATTATAATTAAACAGCTATACGAACGTCAAACTTTGTAGTTCAATCCTTTTGAGTCGTAACTCTTTAAAAAATACAGTACATGCGAACCAATTCAAACGGATTCATGGGTACATTCAATCATATACAGTAGCTATGAAGAAACTACAAATTTTCGACCGGGGGATCGTGGTGTTGGCAACCATGCCCCCTGGAGTGGGAGTGGTCGCCAAACCAACACTCCAAAATTCTGGCGAGAACACAGTGCATGAATAGATAAAGTTTCCTATCAATGCATACAGATGTTGCACTAAAAGGGGAGGGGTATTTTACCAGCTAGCACCAACTTACTCAGGCCCTCCCAAGGCGGCTCTAGGATATAATCTATGGGGGGGGGGCCTAAGATGTCTGATTGGGGGGCCTAAGTATTTATGGGTGTAACTACAGTGCACAGCGTTATCCGAGGGCTGAAGGCCCGAGCCGGAGGTGGGTATGGGAGGTGTCCCCTCCTTCCAAAACAAGGTTTTTTTTTTTAAATTGGGACTTCTAGATGTTCTGCTTGACTGATCAGACACAGACGAAGCGATTGCCAAGACAGATTTCGCTTGGCGTAGGCAGTACAGTACTGGAATGAGAAAACAAGGCCTATTTTTTTTTTTTTTTGGTCTGACTGCCCGACAAGCTTTGGCCGATAAGGGGGTGCTGGACCAAAGCGATGGGGGTGGGGAGCTTAAACCTCCGCCTCCCCTCCCAGTTCACCTTCATGCTCTCCACCTCGCCTCCCCCCATTTCAATACCCCTAGATATACCACTACAACAAAGCTGAGAGAAAGCACCTACCTGGACATTGGCAATATTGCCCTTTCCTCTGAGTGGTCTTGATCATACTCATTGATATATTCCCTTAGTACAGTCAGAACACGAGTCATGCGCATCGTTTCTTGTTGTATCTTTTTCTCTTCCGTGTCTTTTTTTAAAACTTGTACCGTGTCAAACATTGCTCGTAATCGATCCATACATGATTGGATGAAGTCTTCATGGATGTCAACCTAGAGGACAATAATGTAAAAATAAATTTCAATTCATCTTTCATTGAATATTTAAATTGCATCAACAGTTGTTATTATTATTTTACTATATATACATAAGGCTCAACATATCACACTTGTGATGAGGATGATATTGATAAATTGATGATGATGATAATGATTAAAACTATGATAATGATGATGTTTTTGATGATCAAATCACCACTCTTCTCTAAACTGAGCTACAGTATTGTCCTCTAAGAAATGGCCCTGAACTCCCTAATAAATTCTTCTATCCATCTTTTCTGGCTCTCCTCCTGACCAGATCTTTTGGCACCCAATCTATTAGGTGGTCCATCTGTTTTCTCATTGATACATGAGTGCCAATCTCTATTTTCTCTTCTTTACTTCTTGTATTAATCACCCCAATTGCATTTTTCACATCCTTGTTCCTAACCCTGCTCTTTATTTGAGATTGTTTTGGCATTAACTAAGCAAAACTTAAAAAGCATTATACTACAATGCTCACGTTCTCTAAGAAACAAGACACACTAAGCAAAAATATAAAAGCACCATACCTGACTGCTCTGAAGTTTAGGTCCGAGATTTGTATAAGTTTCCTTCAGCAATTCAATAGCCTTGTTAGCTACCTCATCGCTTCCAAATAACACCACCCGCCACAAGTACTGTTGACCAATCAGCTCCAAGTCCTCGATAAGGTAAGCACGTCGCTTAGGGGTTAACTTGCCCTCCTTTGTATTTACTGCTTTGAAAAACCTGTCAAAACACCTGGGGGAGAGAAGGTAGGTGTATAGAAGATGATTGGATTATTCAATAACTTTTAGTAGTACAGTAAGCATACATTCAACTAAGTACATAACAGAACTACAAATTATTGTATAAAAAAATAAGAAATACCATGTAATTTGAAGGATAAAGGTTGGAGGCTGATCTGGGTTGAAATTTACAGGGGGAGTTAAAAAGTTTTTAAAAAATCCCCCCCCCAAGAAAAAAAGGGGGTGGGGTTCTCCCGAGAAAATGTTGACTCCTAGATGGCGGGAATTGAGCTTTTCAGACTTCTGAAGTGTATTTTAATGACTTTTAAGTTCTTGAAAATTCAAGGTTTACCCCTCTTGAAAACAGTCAGGTAAATTTTTCTCATTCTTATTACAGTAAATAGGCCTATTATGTGTGTACCGGAATATATACAGAAAAAAAGTAGTTGCATACGTATTCTTTTTTCCCCATGAATCGATGATCCCCCAAAAAAAAAAGGGGGGGGGCTGGGTTCCTCCCCCCCAGGACAATTTTTATGCCTAGATGGCGGAAAATGAGCTTTCCTGACTTCTAATTTTCCCATTATCCTGAAAAAAGTAGAAATTTAGAAAAAAAAAATGTTTGAAATTTATTTATTATTTATTTCTTTTTTTTGCCCAAGGGGGTCAGGACCCCCTGATCTCCCCCTGATCTCCCCCTATCTCCTCCAGATTCACCAATGAAGGTCAAAATGAAACACAAGCTAAATATTAGGTATATAAATAAGAGTATGAATAGTGATTTTTTATGATGATGTTAATGATGATAATCATGTCAATTTTAATGGTGGCAAGATGATGGTAGTAATTATAATGATGATGGTAACAATTGATAATGATGTGAATGTTGATAATGACAATTGTGATTCAAACTTTAAAATTCAAAAAATGTTATTGTCCAAAAATACATACTAAATACATAGATTGAAAATGTGTCTTTTGGAACACTACAACAGTAAAAACAGAGATAATATGATGGTGATAATGGTATTAATTGATGATGTTGACAATGTTGATGATGGCAGTGGTGATAATTCCAGTGTTGGTGACGATGATGATGATGATGATGATGATGATGGTGATGATGGTGATGGTGATGATGATGGTGATGATGGTGATGATGATGGTGATGATGGTGATGATGGTGATGATGGTGATGATGATGGTGATGATGGTGATGATGATGGTGGTGATGATGGTGATGATGATGATGTTGATGATGATGATGACATTAGGCTAATTCTAGGTTTGCATACTTTATTCCATTTTCCGTCAGTAGTCCAGGATCAAGACGTAAAATATTACTCTCAAAAAATTCCTTGTTGATTTCCGGATCCAGGTCAGGGTCTTCTCCCATCAGCTAAGAAAGAATAAAGCAATAATATATATATAAATCTTTAGTAAGCTGTTGTAGTGTCACATAGTGTCACATGATCACATCACCCAGAGTGGGCATTTGACTTAGTAAGTCAAAATCAGTTTGTTGATAAAGTTGTTGAGCAAAAACTAGGACAAGCAAATATCTCCTGGAAAGTAACTTCTATGTATTCTGCAACTGACTAAGTCAAGCAACATCAATGCTGCTAAATAAATTAAATTGGTAGAAAATTACAGAGGTTATAAAATGTAAAGGTAATTGATGTTAGTTTTTTAAGCAGTCTAACAAAAAATGATACAACTTCATTTTAGGCACATGGAGCAATGGGTGTCAAAAACAAATACAGTTCATTCTCTAATTCAAGACCACCTTGTGGGGACCTGAGGATGTTGAATGGTCTTAAGGGTTGTTAAAATACTACTTTGAAAAATGGTTTTGAATTAGAACAAGAGTCTCACAAATTGGAGGGTACTGTGTATATCACTGTCTTACATACAGTATAAGCAAAAAGAGATGCTCATACACAAAAGTAGATTGGTTAATACACTGAGAGACAATCTTTACTATTTTACGAACTCAATACTGAATTCTTTTTTTTTTAATGGTTAATAGCCATTATGTATGGAATTAAAGGATTGAAATATGATTCTCAAGATTTTCTATTTTACTTTTATTGCTATTTTGAAATAAAGAAATTGGCAAAACTAACCTTAGAAAACCATTTAAAACAAGCTTCTCTATCTGTTACATATACCGAATTTTCAGCAAGGCAAGTCCAAATCTAGAGTAAAGAACAAAACATGTGCATCATCCACTAACATGAAGGCCTGCAATTTTATTTAACCATATAAAAACATGCAAATGTTGCATTGTTGCTTGAATTGGTCTTTAATACAACTTTGCATGTGTTGCTATTAACATGATCACATAATATCTAAATGTTGAATTACTATTAATAATGTAAATACAAAAAGTCAATATGCACTCTAAAAAAAATTGTACAGATATATGGAAATGCCTAAAAAAAAAAAAAAATTAAAGATGAAATTTTCATAGCCAAACCGGAGTATGGGAATACCTCTCATCGCTAACCAAGGATTGATCTAAATGAATCAAAGTCAGCACCTGTTGAGTCTCAGCAATTTAAGACTTGGGAACTTCCTATCCCAATAAAGCTAATAAACAAGGCCGGCATGGACAGGAACAGTCTTCCAATTCAATTCAATATAAAAGTGATGAAAGCACTCACAAAATGAGCAAAGACAATAAATTATACAACAAAGGTGCAGAGACCATTAAAGATTGCTCTCCATATGATCAGGGTAGCCAATGAAGAGGGGCTATCCCAATACAATATAATTGGCAAATTAGTTTAATGATTAACATGATCACAAACAAAACAATATGTCTGAAAACTAATTGGTCCTTTCAATCGAAATTGATCATACCTGTTTAGCCTGTGGAGCACATAACCACAACTGACCATCTTTTAGTAAGAAACGTAAGAAATGCAGTCTTTCTTGAACCTGTTGTACGTGGCTGTATCGGTCGCCGGGAAGCAAACTATGTGGATCAAGGCCAGGGTTCCCTAAAAAAGAAAATATATTATTTGGGTTTTTGAAAAACAATGGAATAAAACAAATGTTTTTGTAGTCTTGAGCTAACATCATTTGAATTGTACTTGTCATCATCAATATCAGCAAATATCATCAATACCACCATTACCAATAATTATCATTACCAATACCAACCACAAAATTATATATCACCATCATCATTGTCAATATCATGATCATCGTTATCACCAATATTATTGCCATCAGCGTTGTTAACCTCATCACCAATGCTAATAATAACAATATCATTACCAAATTACAACACCACATCCTCACCCACCTCTCCAAAAAGCTCTCATTACCATCACCAATGCTAATAATAGCAATATCATCACCAAATTACAACACCACATCCTCACCCACCTCTCCAAGCTTTTACGCTATACAAGAACCATTCGATAATGGGCAGAGGGGACAGAGTACACCTACATCACCAATGCTAATACTAACAATATCATCACCGGTATCACTATTTAAGTTATTGGTGCCCACCTCTTAAAAATACCTGTCTGGATTTTTGTACTTTATACTTGATAAAATGTTCAGCTTTTACACTCTAAATGAACAAGGGGATAGGGGAAAGGGGGACAGAGTAACCTACATCGTTCCTATAGTATTCTCACCTGCTGCCATTTGTCTTGCTGAGTTCATGTACTGTGATAGATTCTCCGCAACAATGGTGACTAATGAATGTTTTGTTTGCAGCATACTGATGATGTCATGTCGATACTGCATGTGAGGACTTCGCTGAGAGTGACTATGATTCTGAGGAGCCTGTTAGGAAGGAAATACACAAAACATCATAAACATTCCAGGTATTTCAATTTAGTAAGATTCAAGATTTTACTATTGTACAGAATACAGTTTTAACATATAAAACACTCACCAAAAATTAAAACCAAACATACATTGTCTTATGTAATATTTTAGACATAAAAAGTAAAGGCTGTATTCATTATTGAACATAAGGGAGGAGATGGAGGAGAAAAAAAAAAAAACTTTATTGGTAAATGTAGATATTGTAGACATGGGATGGTTAAATGCTTTAAATTTATATAATTAGGAAGAAAAATACATATCTTATTTTTGGGGGTTTTTAAGGAAGCAGCAGGCGTAATAGAATTCTAGTAACACTTTTTTTTTCTGAAATTGCCATTTTTTCATGGTGGCGGGTCCGCTATTTGGCCAAAAATAAAATTTTATTTTTATTGGCGGGTGGCGGGTTTGCTAATGAAGGTATAAATAAGTCTTACTAGGTGGAGATGACAAACATTGGTAAAATGCCTTGCCCACAGACACAGCAAAATAAACAGCAAAGGATTGAACCCCTGTGTAAGGAGTTTGTGTAAATTAAATAAAACAAATAAAACAATGACGTAATGATTGTCTACGCTTGTCAGGTTACTGTGTTCAGGCGTCGTGTGTATACATTTTGAATGAGTAAATGTTGTGGAACGTGGCAGAACGGGATATATAAACGAGTCACGGTGTTGCAAAATTGTGATGAATTGCAGATCTGTTGTATGTGTGCGGGATAAGGCTGGGTTTTGCCTACTGTGCCTCACATGTTTCTGGCGTATCTTGATTTACATTGCTGTCGACCTCACATACTGGTGATGGATACCATAACCAATTGAGCAAGTAGAATACAAGATTTATTTTCAAGTTATTTACCATCATTGATGGTGGAAAGGACCAGAAGAAGAGGTCTCATGACCGTTTGTGGATGCAACTCTTTGGTTACGCAAGCATGTTGTCTGGAATACAAGCTCGAAGGACCAGGTTATACGACAGGTTATGGTCGCTCTGAAAACTGGACTGTTCGATTGATAATTTGTGAGACTTGCTATAACTTAAATATAAATTCCAAACATCCAAAAATAAGGTTATAAGATGTGTTTTGGGACTGCATCCATGAACCCATGTTGGTTATAATGAATTCAAAAGATTAAATTGGCTACCTGTTTCTACTAGAGTTGCTGAACGAAAATGTATTCAAATTTTTAAAATTATTAATGGCATTTCCCCAGTATATTTAAATACTGGCATTTCATAACTATAATACTAGATTTTCGACTTCTAGAATGACAATTTATAAACAAAAATCTGGTACACATAGTAGATTCTCATTCATCGATACCGCAATCGATGAATGGAATAAATTACCTTATAATGTTCAAAATTCCCAATCCATATACACTTTTAAAAAACTCATAAAAAACCATTATTTATCTGAACTTTATTATAAATAGCTTTATTTATATGATGTCTTTTTTTAATTATTGAATTTGACTTTGTTGTTTTGATTATGTATTATTCTGTAATTTAAGTATTCTCATTTAGGGACCACAGTGGAAATAAGTTGCTTTTTTGTACTTTTCTGTGTTTTTATCCTTGAATGTATTTTACTTATAATTACTTCAGAATGAATAAATAAAATTAAATAAAGACTGTGTTCTTGTCGTAAAGACACTTGAGTTAATTGATTGTTGTTGCTTCTATTGATATTAACCGTTATTTATTTATTACACTTATTCTATTTATTGCCTTTATTACTGATATAGGTTCCTGCATTGTTGTTGAGATCATGATTACTGTGTTATCGTTGTTGACGTCGATTAATACATTTATCACGTCTATTATATTTATTGACCGTTGATACTGATAGTTTTGTATAAATACTGAGATTCATGAGTAATGTGCTATTGCCTTTAGGCGCGATCTACAAATTATCCCCAACGACAGAAACGCGTCTGGGAAAACCATGTATTACAAACGCGTCTGGAAAAGCGATCGTCTAATTATCGTGCCTCATGAATATTAATAAGCTAGTCGGAATATGTCCCAGACGCGTCTAAACGGGTTTGTGCTGTTGAACGCGTTTGCCATTGTTTCTATTGTTTTGGGCGACAAACGCGTCTGTGTCGTACGTTAGACCAGGCCCCGGTTGAACTACCGTTTTTGTAATGAAATAAAAATGTACACTGTTTTAATATTTGCCTCGTGATTTTTTGTCGGAGACATCGTATCCCCTTCTGCCAAATCCTGCCGCTACCGGTCCCGTTCAGAAATAAAATAAAAAATTGTTTCGTATCGATATTCTTACTTTGTCATGAACGGAAATAAACTGTTTGAAATAGGCATATACCACCAGTTTGCATTACTGCAAATTGCCTAGTAACAGTGAATTCAGTGAGAAACGTTCCCACACAAGTAAGTTCCCACGATCAGGAGAAGCATGAGAGAAGCAGACACAAGGTCAATCACATACAGTAGTCTTCTCTTTAAACGCCGCCAACTCAGGAATGTAGACGCTCTAGTGTCTGATCTGATTCTTTGAACGCCGCCTTCAGGAATGTAAACGCGCTGCTGCTCCGCAAGAAGGGAATAGCCGACTGCCTTGTTCAGCAATATAAACATGTGCCATGGTTTAACCATTTTTAAAACATAATATATATATTGTTGTTATTATTATTGTTGTTGTTATTATTATTGTTGTTATTATTATTATTATTGTTATTATTATTATTATATATACATTTATATAATTTTGCTGACGATATTTTTAATCTCTTGCTTATCTTGTTTGTTTCATCTTTTTGATGTTTGTAAGCTCAGCGTTTTCAGCTGCTTGGCTGCTTTTTGTGCAATTTTATACCATAATAAATAAATAAATAAATATAATAATACAAACATGTATTAAATTCATATAGCCTACACAGTAAAACACAATGCCGTAGCATACGTTGTTCTACGTGCGATATCATGTGGCATCATGTGACCACCACAACGAACTTCTTCAACTGCGGCTGATCCAAGCAAAGATATCTTTGATCAAGTCAGTGTTTACATGCTGTATTGTGCGGGCTGTGCAGGCACGTGGGAATTAGAAAGTTGGGCAAAAGCTACTTGTTTTGACAGGTCAATTCGAACATCGCACAATATAATCTGGGTAGCAAGGTTACTGGTGATTGCTTTCTCTTCTACAAAACCTACAGGTAACGGTAGGGCCTAGCCTACTAAAACATTGGGGTTTCCCCAACAAGAAAAATAATTAAATTTAGGCCTTTATTATAAACATTTCTTCGTGAACTGTCACCTAGCGTAGGCTAGCATTTTACTACCAGGCTACTACTATTATAAATATAGGCCTAGGCCTTCATAGCCTAGGTACGGTAGGGACACTAAACAAGTTTTGAAGTTGTTTAAATCACGATCAAATCACGAACGCGTTTAACATTTTTCCATTCACGAGCAGTCAGCCATATGAAAAGGGGAGGAGTTAACTTCCAAACGGAATAAACGGCTCGAACGACAAGCTTCCAAACGGCATTTCACAGACGCGTTTGGGAGCTTGTCATATAACAATAGTAAACGTGTTTGACCCGTTTCTGTCGTTGGGGATAATTTGTAGATCACGCCTTATTGATGTATGTTGTTAATACCATATTTACCGACTTCCACGGATTATTGAGTTTGTTATATATTGAGTTTGTTATATAAAAACAACGCTAATAACGTGAATTTGAAGTGTATTTCAATGAAAGCCTGAGGACGGAAATTTATTGTAGAAGCAGTCTTTGTACGATGGCATTAAATGTGTGATGTGCCTTACATTATTTGTTTGTTGTCAATTATCTTTTGTCCAGTTTGCAAATCCGGGGAAACTTGTGGCACCCTGTCCTCAAATTCGACAAGACATTTGATGAAAGGCAAATGCTGTGCCAACCACTCCTCCTTTTTACATACAATGACAACAGAATTGAGATCACTGACTGTGCGAGTTTGTTGTATGCTGATACAGATCTTAATGATTCGTGTGTATTTTTTTTCTTATTTACATTGCCAGCTGATACCTATTATATATTTCCTTCTGCAAAATAATACAAATCAGAGTGTGGTGTTTACCTCTCCAAATAAGCAACATATTTCCTTAATTTGCTTGAGTGCAGGTAAAACCCATTTGTCGTTTTTCAACTCATCAACAAACCGGTCAATCCATCGTATTTTCTGAGCATCTCGATCCTGAAAAATAAAATTACATATAAATTTTATTTGACCACAATAATGAAGGTTATTAAAAACCAGCATTTTTTATTAGAGCATGTATACTCGATATAAAATAACTTTTTAAGTGCTTGAAAATTATGCATTTACGTTTATATTACACCAAGAATATTATGTTGTGTCTTCAACAATGAAGAAATGATATGTGCTATATTAATTGCATGTTATTAAATATTGTATAACACAACCAAACTAGCTCTCTCTACTACTATTTTGCTCCACTCCAATAAGTGTTAAATCCTACAATGCCTTTCAAATTTGTTTCCCCTTCACCCGACACCTCTCAACCATTTCAAAAAACCTTTAACTTCTTATCAAGCCCATTACAAATACAGTAAAACACCTATTAAGGGGACACATTTAAGACCAAAAAGTGTCCTCTTAATAGGGGTGTCCCCTCAACAGTGGCTGACTGTAGTATTAAAAGATAATTCTCCTGTTTAGTGCCCAAAATATGTCTCTTTAAGGAAGTGTTCTACTGTGTGATGTCCTATCACACAAACAGATGGGAAAATTACAGGTACTGTATTTGTCACAAGGAACATAGCATAAATAAAAATAACATTGTGTACCTGAGAACAGCTATAATCAAGAATCTTAATGTGAGCGTTGAGGGCTTGATCCATTATGTCTGTGGGTACGTCTTCCTGGTGAGCTAGGTTCCACAGCAGGCCTAGCACCTTGTGAGCCATTACGCCATCTTTGTCGTCCTCAGCCAAGCGACGAATCAACTCTAGTAGCTTCTCACGTTGCTTAGTGGTTGCGTTAGCCCAGCTTTCCTGTAATTAAATAATATATGCATTACAGGTAAATGCAAAACAAAATAACGGTGGATGCATCTTTTTCTAAGTTTCTATATTATTATAAAAAAAGAAATGGTGCTCTTAATAAAAGACAGTTTCCATCATCTTGACCTTGTCATCTGACCTTTTCTTCCTAAAAGTTAATCATCTATTTCTTAAATTATTATGTATCATTCCAATAAATGTTATGATTTATCCATTCCTTAGTTTTTGCATAATGTTGCTAACAGACAGACATAGAGGGGTGAACTCACCTGGAAGCATATAAACAGGTGGTCAAGTTGCTCAGGTGAGAAGTCCCATGCAAGCTTAGCTAAAAGATCATGTACATTCTTCACAATAGCTTCATGTTTTCCCACCTATGGAACAAGAAAAACAGATACAATTACAGATACTGTACTCTTCACAGGGACAAAGATGTGATATTATTATTATATCATATCCAAAATGAAGTGGTTATAAAATACCTAATTTGACTTGGTGTATTATGCAAAACTTTGAAAACAATTCAACTCTTAATGGAAAAATCCAAAGAGTACAAGAGCCTGGTCTCACATACACTAAACACTAAACAGTAATAAAAACTAAAAACAAATAATAATACAATCACCAACAAGGATGTGCTAGTTAAGAAGGGAAACTATTATACAGAGATCCCAATTCTCCCGAGAATTGCGGGTTTCTCCCGATTTTTGAGGCCGTCTCCCGCCCTCCCGATTTTTATTAATATCTCCCGATTTTTTTTAATATCCCGAAAATTTCACGAAAATAGATGTGTATATGTGTAATACTTTCATGTTGCACAGCGCGTTGTAAGGCGTCACAGCGCATCGCTACAGGAGGCGATCGCTTCATGAAAAAAATCTCCCTATTTTTTGGTTTTCAAACTTGGGATCTCTGTATTATAACACAGATGGTTTTTAATGCTCTATAAACACACTTCTATTATTAAGCTCAGGAAATAAAATTGATCATGGATCAAGCAATGATTCCTGTTATACATCTGGAAAATGAATTTCCTTACCACTTTTAGCTAAAATGTTGCAATCGAACAACGCAAACATGTTAGAATACTGATAAATATATTGTAAATTCTTCAATTTTTAACCTATCAGGATGATTTTACATTATATAGGTACTACTACTTCTTAAATATACAAGTTTGGAACAAACACTATTGTAGCTAAGGTCCCACATAACAATGGGTGTAAAAACATATGCTGCATGTGCATTAGTGGGACAACACATTTGTTTGTGAGACAAGCCCATATTCCTGGCCATGTTGTGATCGGTCAGTTGTTAAGTTTGATTGACACTCCTGACAGCTCCATTGAATGGGACCGGTGACATTACACAGATAAAGCCCTGCATGCCTGTTGCAGGTCATTAGAAACATTCTAGTATGTGTAAGAATTGGACCCATGACTTTAAGATTGTAGGCCAGTCACTTTGACTAAACCTCCGAAAAACTATAACTTAACCAGATGTGTGGTGACTCACCTGCGCGGCCCATATATTGTCGAGGTCTTCAAGGGTCAATGTCTTCTCCTTGATGACAAAGCGAAGGATCTTCTCGAGCTTCTCCACGTATTGCGGTTGATGAAGACTATCACGTAGTACTATTGACAGAACCTTATTTTCTTGTATCCACTCCTATGATGATAAATTACAAACAGTGTAAGTCAACATTAATCATATTTGCTTTAAAATATATTACACCAGTACTACTATTGTTATATATTATTACTTTTTTGTACATGTCCCCTATTAAATTAAAATTTAATATAAGACTATTTGGGGCTTGGCATCCCAAAACCAGTATCACTGACCAAAAAACAAGAAAGTTGACTGCTTTATATTCTCCACATTATAAGCTTAAAATGATAGTTCATTTACAGTAATCGACTTGCTATAGTAAAAGTATTAAGGCCTCTATGTACTAAAGTATACACTACTGCCATATTCTTAGATAATTACTCAGTTTAATATTTAGCGACAGCAAGCCTCATTTGGTTAAGTTTTCCACTTGCATTGTTGTATAACAAAGATAATGTTTGCTTGTAAATCCTTTTTTTTTTATAAAGTATTTATTACTATTAATGTTTTCATTATACATCTCGATTACTATCTGTCATTATTTAGCCATTCATAAATCACATCCCAGAGCTATGAATGCTTATCATCATTGTTATTATCATTACTTACAGCCACTCGTTCTGCAGTCAACCACTCTTCCTCTTCCACTGTGCTGTGTTTGTGAGTGTAATACGACACGTTGGCTATCACCTTGTTAATCTCATTCAATGCATTCATCTTTCCATTGAAAGATGAAATTTGTAGTAGTCTATACAGAAAAAATATTTATTTATTTATTCATTATTTATTTCATTGTTTTGTCATCATTCCAAATATCCATAACAAGGCATTAGTACCACGTCCCCTGTCTTGCCTAACTTTCATGCGAAGGTTATTTGAAGAGCCGACCAATCAACTCCAATTAAAATTTGAAAATGGACGGAATTGAAATGAGGTCTTTAGCACAAGAGCAAAAAGACATTACATCTCGGCCAAATGCTTAGCTCGGTACTAGATCAGCTCAATTTAATTCAATAAATTTATTTTATTTAAATAACCTCCAAAAATTGAGAAAACATCTATTTAAAACTAATGCAAAATATTAAATACTTCTTTAAAATAATAATACAATTAAAGCACAACACTATTCTGGTGTCCTCCAACCAAACAGATGTACAGATTCTTGATATTTTGATAAAGCACCTAAGTAAACAGTATACCCACCCATAAAGACAACAACACCTTAAGTAAACACACCCCTTACACTGCTAGAAGTACTCTCTTACCTAAGAATCATCTTCAAACGAAACATTTCAAGGGTCTTTATTTTCTCCTCTGTATCTGGTACTCGGGCAACAAGGTTCTTGAGGGACTATTAGGAAAAAAAGTAAAGTAAAAGTGTTATGATTACTATACTATATGGCCAAGCTGCTACACCATCAATTACTGCTACTGCTAATACAGTATATGCTACTATTATATGCAAGTCGTTATACTACACTCATTTTTTGAATAATTCATTCTTATTGATTTTAAACACTTAAACACTTGCCATTTCACCCGCAGCTTCTCATAAATCAATTTGGTTTTACTATTTTACCAATCTTTAAAGGGACACCCCAACGATGGTGTATGAAGTAAATAGCAATGAAAGAAGTATAAGTGTTTAAAATAGTGTTCTTATATCCAGTTCATCATTCTCTGTGCAATTTAGAATCTGGCATTCTTGTAAACCCTTGTGATCCTAGAGCGAACATAGCGAATAATAATGTGTCTCACTAACAGAGCAAATCTGCCTGCAGATATAAGGGCCTAGTGTGTGTCACCTGCATTATAAGGATCAAACACTTTTGCAGTGCCTTGCCTAGCTGCAGATATATAAGCCAGACCTTATAAAGTATTAACAAAACAGTTAAGTTCAATTTCAAAAGAATTTTGTCTGCTTCAGAATTTACCTGTTTCATGTCATCTAATGTTAGTTTTGTGCTAAAGGATGTAGAGTTGTATAAATAATCCTGGTATTTCAACAACAAAAAATAACAAAACAAATATATTATTACCTTGATAATGGATGAGAGAGCATCATTCTTAGCTTCATTTTTAGATTCCTTTTTAAGTTCTTCATCAGATAGTAAATCAAGAAAATGGATTACACGGTCCTGTGAAAGAAAACATAACAAAGCTTTAACAAACAAACGTTGATGAGCCAAGGTATAGTTGTAAAGACCTGACCAGACTATCAAATTTTAATTGACAAAAACATGCGACATGCCTAAAATATGAACATGATGACATCACATCATGACCATATATAGACACATCATGACTATATATGGGCATACAACAGTTTTTTTTTGTCAAAGAAAATTTGATAGTGTGTTGTTTGCTTGAAACAATGTAGTACAGCGCCCTCAATAGAAAGAAAATTAAAATAAAAAATTTAAGCACAAGAGCCAATGATACGCCAAACAGCGAACTTAGTCACTTGTCTCAGTATGTTCACACGGTCAAATTTTATGCGACAAAAATATGTGATATGCCCATAAAAGTAAATCCTTGCCAAGCCACGGGGCTCATAGGGCTGGAGCTTATCCCCAGTTTCAAGTAGCATGAAGCGGGTAAGAGTGTAATCCCCCACCACCCGGGTGGGATGCTGGTACGCCGCATGTTACCACCAGCAATTTGCTAGTACCGGCTTACAGCTAGGTAGACTGGAGCAATGTAGATAAAGTGCCTTGCTTAAGGGCACAAGCGAATTGCACAGCGCAGAATTGAAACCCTGCCTTTTGAGGTTCGGAAACCAAACCATTTCCACTGCCACGCCAAACTGCCTTCTGATATGCCCATATTTAGGTGTAATATGATACCATCATGCCCATATATAGGCATATCACAAATTAGATGCTTGCCTTCCAATCCCTGAGTCCTGGGTTCAATTCCTGTGGTCAGTCGTGCAGGATTTGTTCTCACAACCAAAAGAACTCCACTCCCTAAACCTCATATTGAAATTTAGTTTGATAGTAATTGTTATTGTCGTGATGGAATAATAGACAATAACTGGATTTGCGTCAGGAAAAACATGTATAGGTGTAATTTTAATACTCAGTATATTTGAAAACAACTGCGAAAAAATTCGCAAGTTGTTCTCGGGTTGTTCGCAGTTGTTTTCAAATGTACTGAGTATTCGGTACATTTCCACGTCAGGTAGGGCAAAAAAATTACCCCTATACATGTTTTTCCTGACGCAAATCCAGTTATTGTCTATTATTCCATCACGACAATAACAATTACTATTAACACTGCAGTACCCGCTGCTTACTTGGACTCGAATTCAACCCTGGCCATCAGGCGCAAGCTCGGTGGTCTAGAGGTATGATGCCAGGCTAGTGGTCCCACCCGAGAACAAACTGCGATTTTTTTCGCAGTTGTTTTCAAATGTACTGAATATTCGGTACATTTCCACGTCAGGTAGGGCAAAAATTACACCTATACAGAAATTTAGTTTGTGAAAAACATTGTGTGTGTATATGTTTGTCTTGTGAAAGGGATTGTTACCGACAAGTAGGAGAGTGATACATTTCGCTATTGACAATCCTTGGGCATGTGTTGTGTTAATAAAATAAAATATTGATATAGAACACTGAATTTTCCGGATTATCAGCATTACAACATAAACTACATTTGGTGTGATAATTTTACTTACCACAATAACCATAAAATATTTTTGAATAGTGTTTGGAGTCAAGATTTCAAAACACTGCCCCCATGGTCTGCAATAAAATAAACAAAATGATTAGCAATAAGCAACAATTATTATTACATTTGTCTTTAAATTATTTTTAAAAAACTTTGAGAGATAATTAACATTTTTCAAACAATAATATAAAAAAATTATATTTAATGCATTGGTTCTCAACTGAGATGAGCAAGCAAATATGGCTCCTCTACATGTCCAGAAATACCACTCTCAAACATTAAAAAATATGTTAGGCCTACCTTGTTTTTAATATGATATTTAGGAGCAGGAATTCAATTTTAATCAAAAAGTTATTGTAAGCTCTCCATTCAATATTTAACACATTTATGACCATTAGATCCCCATGTTTCAATCAAATAACAGAACAGCAAGTGGAGAACATCAACGATTTGATGGTTTCCCAGCAAATAGAAGTAAAGGAAGTAAAAGACAGAAAATAAACACAACACATGTCATGACTCTACAGCTCAATTAAAATAATAATACTGATCTATAAAAAGTACAATATGCAACATTTCCTGGAAAACGTATGTTGTATTGTATTCATATTTTTGCCTTTTTATTCGTAAAAATTTTAATAATAATTAACAGCTGAATAAATAAATATACAATAGGTTATTGAATACATGAACAACCCTTACTTGAGGTATGCATGTATGACAGAAACACTAAGAGTGCGATCACTGTCAAACCGCTCAGCAAGAGTGTCAAATCCTTTTAATGATCCAAATCTATTTACCAAGTCAACTAGCCAACCCTGTGAAATGAAATCAGGAAATAATGTTGTAGTTTTTATCTTGCAAAATCTAAGCAGAATCCATTCATCACTAGAATATCACTAGAACTGCAATAACATTTATATATTCACATTATATGTTGTTGCTAATATTATTAGCAACAACATATACTCAATATACCGAAAGGACTACTGATTAATCTCAGGTAAGAAGTATTGAAAACACATGATGGCGTGCATTTGAATACTTGGAGTATGTATTATACTTTCTATATATATCCCATTATAAATATTAATTAATATCACTCATTATTGTCTAACTTATTAAAACACCTACTTATTTTTTTATTCTACTTTCGCTATATATTGATAATATACTACTCTTAAAATATCAACACAATAGAACCCCTTCCTTGTAACACAACTATTAAGGAGACACTATCTTGTTCAAAAATTGATGGAAAATATAACAATACTACAGCCAACCCCTATTCATTCTTCTTTTCTTTTTTTTTGGTCTTGAAGATGTCCTCATAATAGGGTGCTCTAATGTACAGGAATATATAATATGCCATTAGACAAGAGACACAAGGGGATATCAATGATGATATTATCACTGATCATTGAATCCATATATTGGCAAATTAACATTATGAGCAACTTCTCCACTCCCAAAAGAGCATACCTAGTCGTATTTGCAATTTAATGCGCAATATTACTGTCAATTCAAAAACATCCTACCCACATACCCGCATATTACTCCCGGGTGGAAGGAGACAAAAGTAGGTAAATTGCCTTGCCAAAAAATCACAAGCAAAATTCTTAGTGAAAGTTTGACCCCGACCTCAAGGTTATGAGCTCCACTGGTACTTTATACACATCTAGATGTGTATAAGAGACAGCATCATGACTATATATGGGCATACAA